CATAAAATCATCACGTTGTTTTTCAAAATCCGTCCGTGCGTACGGATCCCCACCATCAATTGGCATTCAAGGCAAATTAAAAAATTGTTAAAAAAAATTCTGTAGACAAAAAACCGCTCAGCTCAACAAACACACATTTAAGTACATGCATAAAACCTAAAATTAATATTTGTTTTTTTTAAGCATAATAAGACATGTTTTGTTTATAATACGTACCAGTTTTTTTTTTCAATGGCCACCTTTAAAATTCATGCCGCTTCCTTCGCAAAAGCCATTGCCACTGCCTCCTTAATAGTTCAAGCGTCGAAGTGAAATCTATGGGACTTACTTGTATTTATGAGAATCGTATAGAGGGGCATTTGTGAAGAATACGTTTTTTTCTGGAATTTGCAAAACTGCTTGGGGCAATATATACTTGTATATATATATATATATGTAAGTAGATACATACATACATACATACATACATACATACATACATACATACATACATACATACATACATACATACATACATGCACACATGCATACATGCATACATGCATACATGCATGCATGCATGCATGCATGCATACATACATGCACATATCTATATATATAAAATGGTTTGTTTTGACTGACTGATTGATTGGTGATCAACGCATAGCCCAATCTGGCAGCATTATATCTGGTCAAAAGTCATGTAAAATGGTACCCTTAAATATCCTACATAGAAATAGGTCAACATTTGTGTGTCTGTCCATGCCTAGCTGCCCCATAGAATTAATGAACTCAAAGATTTGCTGTAAGATAGTCTTACTCAACAGCTTACCCGATAATAGATTTTGATGCCAAAGCTAATTTATGAGATATATTTTTTGTACTATTTTTTTAAAAACTGGATTTGAATTTGATGCATTTCGATGCACGGTTAATCTTATATACATTATATATATATATCATTATGCTTTTGCTAATTAACGCAATCTTAGCATAAAATCTGAAATTTCCGAGCCACTGAGCTGCAGTCCTCATGTTAGCAGACAGGCAGGGTAGTAGTGAGGGAAGTTGGGAGTCGAGGTGAGAAAGAAAGTTGTAAGAAAAAAACGCGTAAACTAAATAATTACAAGGCTCGACGGAGTGCACACGAAATCACAAACAAAAACAAGGTGAACCGACGAAGAAGAAGCATAAACAGAAGAAAGGCTGCCCTGACACCCATCTGGGCCGAAGAACTAGCCCGTAAGGATACGAGCCCGGAGCCGGAGTCGACCCGCACCCATTACCCGTTGGTGGCGTGAGGCAAGGGAAACAAAAAGAAAGAAAAGAAAAAACAACACCCAAACCGAAATTGAAATCGAAATTGAAAATTGAAAATTGAAAACTGTAAATGAGAGCTACGCGTAATTGCAGCAGCAGGAAAATGTGAAAATCAAAGAACGAAGAAGAAAAACTAGACCATGGCCTTGGTTTGTATTTTTTTTTTGTTTTGTTTTTCTCCGAGCCGCCTTCGGATTGTTCTGCTCGGGCTGTGGTGTTGTTTTGAGGGGTGAGCTTGCTCGGCATTTTCTTCTTCTACATTTTTTTTAGGTTTTTTTTGTGGGTACACTACCCTTTACCGTGTCCGGGCCTTGGGAAAGTCGCGCTGCTGCGCTTTCTTTTTTGCTTGATTAGATTTGATTTGTGTTATTTGTGGCATTTCGCTACTCTCCTTCCGCCTTGCCTTTCTGCCCCTTGGCAGTGTCCGTGTCCGTGTCCTTGTCCTTGTCCCTGGCTGTGTCCTTTGCCGAGCTACATTTAATTTCTAAATTATCGACACGGCGCTGGGCGATGGGCGTTACAGAGAGGGGAGAGAGAGACCCCCGCCAGCCCCTTTCTGTTTTTGTTTTGATTAAGAAAATTATAGTTCATAGAACTTACTTAGACTCCACACATTTCGGCTGGCCAGTGTTGGAAAGCGACTTGTTTGCCCGTCTGTTGCATGCACATGGAAAACATGGAAAAGTGCAACAATATCCTTTGGCTGCGCAGCTCCCAAGGCTAATGAGGCAATTTAAATGCTAATTCTCGTCCTTTAAGCATACTTAACAAAATATCAAATTATAATCCAAATCATGTTGCTCACATCTTCAGCGGGGGGAGGTGTCCTGGCCGCAGCCAGACTATGCGTGCGTGTGTGTGCCTGCAGCATCGGGGTTGGGCTTACAGTATTATGAATATGAACATGAACATGAATATGAATTTGAATGCTTTTATTATTCAAATGTAAAGCGCCTTTAAAGTTGCCTAATACGATTTTAGTTCAATGCCCAAACGAAAAGTTGCCCTAAATCGGTTTGAGAATCGCATAGAGAGGCACCCATTTTAGTCATGAAAATATTATTTATGGTGTCTTCTGTGGCACTACAAGTCGGCAAGATAAGCCTCGATTCGATGCATACTTGCATATCTGTGAAATGTATCTATGAGATACACAGTATCTATAAGCTACAAAACTATCTGTGAGCTGTATCTATGAATTGAGATATATATATATAGATCTATTTTCGAGCATAAGCGTTTTTCTGAGATACATAAGTATCTATAAGATTTAAGCATAGATTAAGATACATATCTGTAGGATATAAAAGTATATGTGATACGAAAAGCATCTGTAGCATGCACAAGTATCTTTGAGATGTATCTCTGGTGCATACTAGTATCTGCGAGACACAAATGTATCTAAAAGCTGCAAAAGAGTAGATACGTCCATATAATTCGTATATATATGACAGTATCTTAAAAGTGTGGCTGAACAAAAAAATGTTTGAATTGAATAGAATTTTCCCCCTTTTTGATATTTAGCTGCTGTTTGCATAACGTATTCAGAGTTGAGAGTTTTCATTTCGTTTTCGTAACGCAGGCGAAACGTGTTATTTGCCCACATGTCATATGCATTACGAGTGTTTTCCCTTTTTTATTATTTATTTTTTGTATTTTTGAATATTTGTGTGCGCATCATTTGGTCAGCGGCAACAAAAGGAGGCAGCCTAAACAAACAAAAGCTGCGGCTGCTGTGGACTCTGAGGCAGGCGCGTGCGCAGGGGAAGAGCTCAGTGGAAATCGAAATGGAAATTAAAATGGAAATTGTTAACTGTAAGCTGTAAATGGAAAAGGACCTGATGCTGGCGAGCACGACTGACCGCAAGCGGGTTCAAAAGGTCAGCAGCAGGCAGCTGACTTTACGTCTGCGCAGCCTTTACGCTTGCGCCTCTTTCCCCCCAACAGCCACCCCCTTTTAATATATATATATATATATATATATATGCTTTTTTGTTGTTTTAGTAAATTAAACAAATAGAGCGAAAAAAATGAAATTCATATTTGTTTACTTTTTGATAATTTCCGTTTGATAAATGAGTTAGGCGAAGGTCGCTAAGCCGCGACAATGTGGCGCGATTAGGGCAATAATTTGTGGGATTAGTGCTGGGAGCAACCACCGGAGCACCACCGGAGCACCACCGGGGCACCATCGGCTGGCAGCGGAGCGGCACCAAGAAATCAACTTCAGGTTGCAGCGACTGCGGGCGCAGCGGGTCGCGACGTGTCCTGGCGCGAACTACTTGCGGTTTTTTTTTTGTTTACTTCCATTTTTGTTTTTTTTTTTCGTAAATTATAACGAATTATGACATATTAAGATTTATATTTATGGGCAAGGGACTTTTTGCCAAGCAGACGAGAGAGTAGAAGAAAGGAACTGTGCACAGGAGGCGACCGCAAGATGCAAGTCGCGCAGTCGCGCAGTTTCGCAGATTCGCAGCCTCCTGCGCCTTGCGCCTGCTCGAATTTCAGCCTTTTGTGCGTTGGGCGCCGGACTTGAACCGAGCACAGCTGTTGCTGGGCGAGTCCTTGCGCCCTTCTCTCCCTCTCTACCTCTCGCCCTGACTCGCTTGTCTTTCCTATCGCCTCGGGCGCTGCTTGCCGTATTATGATTTCATATTTTGATTTATTGTTTTGCTTATTGTTTTGCCATACATTCACAGCAGATTTTATTTTTTTTTTTCGTTTTTGGCAATGCCTTAGCCTATTGTTATCCGTTCGGCGTGTCCTTGCCACTCTGAGACCTGAGTTCGCTGTGCGGTTTCTGTTTTCGCAATATTTTATGTTAATTTCAGGACAACGGCTGCCGCCAAGTCAGAAGCCAAAACACGGCGCATTTAACTTGTGTGCGATAGTCAAACTCCTGCGAGTCGCGCGCATCCTGTGCCAAGCACCCGGCGAAATTCGACCTCATATTTTCGTATGAGCCTAACGTATATTTGGCAATTGGATTGCTTAAGTCGAAAATGTTTTCTGGGTTTCAGCTTCTTCAAAGTATATGCCCAAGAATTAACCTATCTCTATGTTTTCTTCAAGAGCTTTGGCCTAGTGCCTTAGCCTCTTGCTAAACTTATCCTTTTCTCAATCAATCTTTTGAACTCTCGCACTTTCAACCTGCCATAAGCTTAAGCCAAGCAGCAGGTATACTTTTTAGACAAGCTTAAGGCAGAGCTTGCATTTAAAATTAAAAAAAAAATTGCAAACATGCAGCCAGGACCTTAAAGTAAACAAAATTGCGAGCCCCGAACGCGAACAATTTTCAGTTATATGTATTGAACGCCAATTATGATTACGGTTCGTCAGGATACGCATATATTAACTAAGAAATATTCATTATTTTTGACAAAATTCTAGCTTTAACCAGGCCATTTCCGTGCAAGTAATTGGTGCCTTCAGTTTGGCCAGAAGCGATACCAATAAAGAATATGAGAATAGTCTAGGCAACAACCACTTGATGCGGTAGAATGGCAAGCACGCGTGAGTGTGGTTGTGCGTCTTGGCTAAATGCGCTGCGCGCAAAAGTATGCAACGGTAGTTTGTTAAGTTGACTAGATGACGGGTTTTTAAGGGGTATCTACGAGCTCGTTTAGTGCTTGTAATTTGGCAATTCGATGTCTGCTATTTATAAAATAGTAAAAATAAATTTGCTACTTCAAGTTTCTAGCTTTTGTAGTTTCCTAGCTTGACGCATTCGCGCAGACGGATAGATTGGCGAACATGGCAAGGGCGACTGAGTGCCTTCTGATCCACAATATATGTATCGTTTAAGGTTGAAGACTTCTGCCGCTGCCCGTTTAACTTGCACAAAAGAAAAGTATATCCCTTTTATCCAGTTTCAATGGGTAGCGGGCTATAAATATAAAAATTCCAGGTTCGATTGAAACCCAGTTTGGAGGCCTAATCGGCAGCAAACGGGGCTGTGGATTCGTTGTCAAAGGCGGAACAATTATATAAGTGGAAACTAAAAGTCGACCGTAAGCCGAGCAACAGGCAGGAACAGTTTGCTGAGGATAACGCGACACAGCCATCGAGATCAGAATGGGCCTCACGGCCAGCCATCAGCTGAACGCATCGGAGCTGAGCGCATATCAGGCGGCCACCGGGCTGTCCACGGAGCAGCTGGAGCAGTTGCATACACGCTTCCAGGCGTTGGATCGACGTCAGCGCGGCTATTTGACGCCAACCGAGCTGCTGCGCATACCGCAGTTGGCGCAGAATCCACTCCACCGCCAGATCATCGATGGCTTCTTTGCCGTCATCAAGGAAACCGACTCGGATGCGAACAAGGACAAGGCTGCGGCTGCGGATACGGATGCGGATGCTACCAGTGCCGATCGCATCTATTTTGGCCAATTTGTGCGCACCTGCGCCACCTTTATGGTGCCCCAATTTGGTCAGCTGACACATACGCGCGCCGATGGCCGCGCCCAGAAGCTGCGCCTGCTCTCCCAAATGTTCGACACGCAGCGCAGCGGACGGATCGAACGCGCCGACTTTCGGCGGACGATGAAATGCCTGCTGGACAGCGTCCCGCCCTCGGATGGGGTGGCCAATCTGCATCCGCAGGGCAGTGAAACGGAGCTCCAGCAGCTGGAGGACCTTGCCTTTGGCGCCAGCGATAGCATCTCCTACGAGCAATTCGAACAGCGTCTGGCCACGGCCGATGTCGAGGGCGGGCTGGCGGTGCGCAAGTGGCTGGAGGAGCCCGCCGACGAGACCAACTGAGAATCATCATGAAAATCAACTTGAGCACAAGCATCCACAATATTTCTAAATTTTGTTCAGTTATTGTTTTGTTTTTGCTGTTTTTTTTTTTATAATTATGAGAATATACTAATTATTTTCTTAAAATATCTTGTAAATGCATCTGGGGTTATGTAGTGTATAAGGGATATTGCTCTTTATAAAAACTTCTAGGAAGCTGAACTCTTAATTGTCCTTACCTTTTGTGATGAAGGTGCATGGTTAGATGGCGTTTCAGGAAATCGGACATTTTAAAAGATGCTTGTCGAAATTCGGCTTCGTATTTTTTTGGAAAATCCTTCCGACCTTGGTGGAAAAGGGGATCAACATTTTGGCGGATGACGTTTCGCGCACAAAATCATTTCCAAAGATCTATATGAAAGATCATTTGCAACGTATTCCATACTTTTCGCAGAATCCAAGCTTCTTCGGTAGAAATGCATGCATACATACGTACATACGTATATACATACATACATACATACATACATACATTCATACATACATACCAAAAAAAACACAAAAAAATACCAAAAAAAACACCAAAAAAAACACCAAAAAAAGCCAGAAAAAAAGCCAAAAAAAAGCTACTAGCTTAGCTAGAAAACTGCAAAGCCTACTTAAATTCTTGAGAATCGAGGAGGAGAGCACTTGGTAGAAATTCGTTTTATTTAAATTTGCAGCACAGCGACAAAAAAGCTTGCTCTCCGTTTGGTGTTAGAAAACAAACATGCATACATACATATATACATATATGCATGCATACACTAACACACACACGCCCACACACATACACACACACATACATACATACACACACCCACACACACACTATATTTTGGATCTCACAAGACGCGGCGATAAATTTATTTTTCTGTTTTTAGCATTAAATATTTTTTATTTATCATAATCTTTTAATATAAACCTTTCTTTATGATCTTTTACAAAAGTGCGTTAAGATAAGTATTTAGCGAGATTCGTGCTAAAAAAAAATATGTATATAATAGAGGATAGATAATACATAATATAATAATCATAATAAGTATAAATGTTAATAATGAACATGACTTTTCTTATGGCAGGCCGCAGATGCCTTCAAAACGTGCACACACATGTAAGTATGTATATGTATAAATGTTGCTATATAGTACCACGATGACATTCGATTTCATTTATGATTATGTGTATATATGTATATTGTACTATATAGCAGCATGCGCTATATATATTTGATTAGCTTTTTCTTTTAGTTTGTTTTTTAATTGTTTTTCTGAGCATATATTCAAAATTTGTAACGTCTTTTGTTGCATGCTTAGACTCTGTATAGAGCACTATAATATTGTTAAGAGTTAGCTTTTAATGTTTTTTTTTTATTTTTATATTAATATTAATTTTTGTTGTTTGCATAATACAAATACAATTTGTAAATTTACGCTACAAATTGTCTTTCTTTTTGATTTGATTTTTGAATTTTTTTCCCTTTTGCATAACATTTTTCAGTTTTCTTTAGTTTACAAATTACATTTATGATTTTCATTGTATTTTTGCTGGTTGTAAAAAATTTGGTTTAATGCTTGCAGAAACTGATTTTAAGCTATGTATATATATATATATATATATATATATGTTTAGGTATAGGTATGTATATGTAGCATATATATAATAACAATATATGATATTTAAGAAAAGAGCAAATAAAGAAATTTAAAAAAAAAAAGGAAAACTTTGACTACGCGCTGCTTGCTTTGGCTGGGCGTGGCCGCTTTTATTGACGCCTCACAGTGCGCTCGCGCTCCCGCCCGCTCTCCTCGCGCTGCAGACGCGGCGGCGAGGTCTGACCCGCGGCGGCGGCGTTGCCAGCGCCTGGACCTCCACCAGCTCCTGCTCCGACGCCGGCCGCAGCGCCGTTGGAGACGCGCGCCTTGCGCGAACGCTTAAACTTGGCCATGTCCTCGCCGAAGACATCGCCGGTGCGCAGCGCCGAGATCAGATCATCGAACTCGCCCTTGTTGTCACTCTTGGCCAGTGGATCGCTGCCGTTGGCGCTGCCATTGCTTGACGATTTGAGGCCCAGATTGCGTGCCACGCTGCTCATGAGGCCAGTTTTATTTTTGCGCTCGATGGTGCGCTTCTTGAGCTCGGCTTCCTGTTTGGCGCGCTTCTCCTCCTCCTCCTGGCGCCGGCGGAAGCTTTCGTTGTCGTTGCGCGCCTCCGCGAAGGCGGCCAGAAATGAATCGAATATGCCAAAGAACTCGTCAGGCTGCAGCACGGAGCCATCCTCGCCGAACAGGCGCACCGCACGATCGAAACGCGTCTTCATGTCCTGGAATTTATCCTCCAGCTCGGCGAAACGCACCGAGGCCGAGGCGTGGAACTCCCGCATCACTGGCAAAAAACGATCGCCCTGCTGTGCCGGTCCCGAGCTGCGATGGAACTCAATCTCGCGCGCGACATCCGCCAGGCCGGTGCGCAGCATCTGTATATCTTTGTCCATTTCGCCCAGCGACACCTTGGACGCTTCGCGCACATGCGGTATATCGTCCTCCAACTTGAGCAGATCCTTGAATTTCTTCTCAATCACCTGCACCAGATAGTGCAGTAGCGTGGTGCCCTTGGCCGCACTGGATTTCGTGTCCGCCAGACGATTCAGCGATGCGAGCCTAAAGCCAGAGGCATTGCCGCGGGCGCCGCGATTCATATAGTTGCCTGCAGAAAGAAAATGTATGTGCATAAGTCTGGGCGAGTCTCCCATGAGAGTGAGTCTTACCCAATGCCAGCACCAGCTCGAGCAGCTTGCGCAATCGGCGCGAGCGGGCCACCTCCCTAGATGCCTCCATGACGCTGGTGATGCGTGGTATCAGATCATTCACCGTCAGCATGAAGCGCTTCTTGTAGTGCAAGCTCTTCAGGCGTTGCTCATAGTGTGGAATCCTGCGATCGAAAAGAGAATAAGATATATATATATATAATGAATATGTCAAACAGTCTTCTCTTCCCGTCAAAACGGCATTAGGTTTAATAGCAAATCCCTACTTACTTGGATATCTCGTAGAGGAAACGATCCGCGCGTGCCAGTGATTCGATATCCTCGCTGTGCTCGTCCAGGAGCGCACGCTCCTCAGCGGAGGGCGTAAACTTGAGCAGCTGCTCGACCATATCCAGCGCCAGCTGCTCATTGCTGTCCATGGAGAGTATGGCTCTGTGAGCGGAGAGGGGAGGAGGGGGTTGATTAGTTGATTCTACTTGAATTTAGATTGGAATTTTTGTACTCACTTGGATATATCCATGTCGCTCATCTTAAGCTTGCTCAACAGAATTGTGCAGTTCTGGGCGCGTCGTCCATCGATGACAGACAGCACCTTTTGCTTGTTCTTGCCCGTCACGCGCAGATCCTCATAGGATCCATCGGTGGCCTGGGCATGCGATTGAATGAGGAATTGAATAAGTGATTGAATAGTTAGACATTTTGCTTTTTAGCTGGTAGTTTTTCTAGCTTCAGATTGGATTAACATCTAAATAAATAAATATCCCAGGGTTCATTTACTCTATGACATCCATAAAATCCCTTCTTTGGCTGCAATCTTTTCTCTTGTCTTTCATTTAGATAAGTCTTTTTTATTGGAATATTCGAATTTAATCTAAGCTTTTTACTGTTGCTGTAATTTTCTGCCCTCTTAGCTTTCATTTATCTCCATTTAAATATCTCGTTTTATTTGAATGTCAGACATTAATTGATACCTCAGGTTATTTCTTTCATTGCTTTCCCTTATTTCATTCTAAAACTTTCTTTTGCTTTCTTTTAGCTTTCTTTTAAGCCTAGGTTTCTATTCATTCCATTCATTTATTTCCTCCCAAAACTTTACACTGTCTTATCCTTTGCCTCCTCTTGAGCAACATCCATTCCCTGTAATTCTCAAGCTTCCATTAACTTACCGACACGCCATTCTTTTGATAGGCTGAGAACAGCTTATCAATGGACTCGAGCTCCATGTTGTTGTAGAGTTTGCTCTCGTCCAGTTCGCTCCAAACGGTGCCCTGCAGCTTGGCGTCGGGCAGCTTGGACCAGTTGAAGCTCTTCAGTGGATTCGCTGGCTGTGGCACGTTCTTCTTTGGCAACTCCACTTTTGGTGGTGCTGGAGCTATCGCAAACCAGAAATAGAAAACCACGCGGATTAGCAAGAGAGTGCGGGGAAAACTAGGCGAACTCACCCATTGCTGGCGTCATGCTGGGCGGTGGCGGTGGTGCGCCGGGACAGGGCGGCGGCGGTGGTGGCAACATGGCTGGCGCCATGGGCGGCGGCGGCGGTGGCACCGCCTTCAGCATGGGCGGCGGCGGTGGCGGCGGCGAGACGGCACCATTGCAGCCGGTCAGGCCGGCGACCTTCTGGTCATCGGGTATGCTGCCCTCCGTGACGAGTCGCTCCAAGCGTGCCCGCTCCTGCTGCTCGCTTTGCAGCCGATGCTGCAGATCCTCGGCCCTCATTTCGGCGGTCTGGGCACGCTGCACCGCCTGCGAGTGCTGGGCGGACTCCTTCTCGAGGCGTTCGCGCATGCGCGCTAGGCCTGTTTCCAGGTCCTCTTTCTCCTGCATGCGCAGATCCAGCTCCTGTTCCTTTTTGGCCAGACGCGACTGCACCTCAAAGTTCTCACGCTCCAGCTCGTCGGCGCGTTTGCGCGCCTGCGTCAGTTGCTCCTCCTTGACCAACAGACGCACCAACTTGTTGACATCGATGTGCAGCGGCGCCACGTCCGGGTCATGCACTGGCGACTCGGTGGCCAGCTTCAGCTGCTTGCCGGGATCATCGGGATCGGCGATGAGGTCGCTGTTGGGACGCGATTCCACCTGCAGCACAATCTGCTGCACGACGCGATCAATCAGCAGCCAGTGCTCCGTGCAGTGACCCGTGTCTGCAACAAAAAGAGAAAACACAGAGAGCATTGAGAGATGGGTCGGGAGTTGGTCATAAGGATTGCTTACAGGGCAGCAGGAGCATATGCTGCAGCAGGGAGAGCATGTGCGGATAGGCGGGCGAATGGCTCAGCTTGCGGCGCAGCAGTTCGAACATAGAGCCAGCGCTCTTGGTGTCCACATGCTCCTCATTGAAGCGGCGGGCGAACTCCTTCTCATCCTCGGCGCGCACCATTTCAAAGAAGTCCTATTGTGACAAAAAGAACAAAAAAACCAATTAAGACCGAGCACTACGATTTATTCCGGAGGAGTAGGGCGGGGGGGTCACTCACCAAATGCCTGTCGAGCGTCTCGTTCTCGTGGGTGCGCAGCTTATCGATGACCGGTTGTATGCCCAGCATAAGGAATTCATAGCGCAAGTGCAAACGGAACTCGAGATTCTCCTGGCCGGGACCATAGTTGAGCACCGCATTCACAAACGACATGAGGGCCGTCTTGAGATTGACATTATCCCGATACGCGTACGTGGAACGATCCAGATCATTGACAATGCTCTGGAAGCGTGTGCGCTCCGTGGCGAACTCCTGAAAATGCAGCATGGCCTGCAGAACCTTACGATGTCCGCCCGGCACCAGACACACAGCGCCCAATATTTCTAGCGCCGAGATCTTTGTCCGGATATTATCCGCCGCCAAGGAGCGCGCGATCGTATCGATCGCCGTCGGATGGGCCAGCACATGGGCGCGACCCATCGAGTTGTTCATCAGCGCCTTGATGCAGCCAATGAGGCTGGTGTGCAGCGAGCTATTGGCCACCCGGATGTCCAGCTGCAGCAATAGATTCAATAGCGCCGGCAATCCGTCCAGCTCCACAAAGCGCAGCACAAAGCTGTGCGTCGAGGTGCGCAGCGCGGTCTTGAGCGCATCGACAAATGCGGCATGATTATCCAGGCGCGTGCTCAGCTCATGGCTGGGCGAATCCTCTGGCGAGAGCGAGACATGCACCACCAGCTCCTTGAGCCGTTCGATATAGTGCTCCGCTGTGGGTGGCTGTGTTATGGTCGTCGCATCGGGTCCATCGTTCGCATCGAGCGGCAGCTTGCGGGAGCAATAGATTTGCCATTTCTTTTGCGCCGGCAAACTGAGCATCGCCTCCTTGTTGGGCGCCGTCAGATCTAGCTCCTCGACGAGCTCGGCAAACTTTGTGTCCAGCTCATCCACCGATGGCATTGGCTGTGTCGGCGTCAGGGTTTGCAGCGTAAACGCACCCTCCACCACACAAATCTCCGGCGGCTCATCGTCCTGCAACAAAAGATAGAGAAGTCTAAAAAATCTGAGGCGCTGAAGCGGCACATGGCATCAGCCAGCTGTTCCTCCAAATGGGCGTTAACAGTGCATGTCCAATTACAAAAGAAAAGCCCCCGCAGCTATTGCCCAACCTTGTTGCATTGAAATTAAAATCAAAAGTTTGTAATCGATCTACTTGGCGGGGGCTAGGCTCGCCTCGCCTCGCCTCGGCTGGGCTGGGCTGGGCTGTGGGTTGTGGGTTTGTGTTGTGGTCAAGCAACACTCGCTTCCACTTGTGATTCCAAAAGTTGAGGTTCTCATGCATTTCGACTTGCTGCACTTTAGCTTCTGATTTGATAAACCCAACCAGAAACCTGTTTTCTTTAGAAGCAAAAAGCGTAGATCAGCTATATTCTATTCTATTCTCTTCATGATCTTCCAATTAGCCTAACAACAGATTCAATGGCAGCACATAGGAAGCAATTGCCTTTTTAACCAGCTCGAATTGCATCTAATTTTTCTGTTAACCTTCCTGCCGCTACTTCTGCTCCAATTAGTTTTTAACTATCTGCAGTCTGTGCACCCTTTAGAGACACATTTAGAAGAGCCAGCGACTTGTTTGCTCTTCCAACCGAAGCGACCCTCTTCAGTTGACATCATGTTCCGTTGAGTTAGTTGAGCACCTGAGAGAACAGTTCTCGAAATCAAAAGCTGTCGAAGTCGGATGCCTCTTTGTCTTAATACCCTATACGCATGGAAAGCAGGAAGGTTTGTAAATGTGTGTAACAGGCAAAGAGAATTCCTTAAGACTTTACATATCTAATTCAGCTTATTTCTCAGATTATTTCCATGCTGTCCTAAAATCGATAAATATCGATATAGTGCCTACTCTTTGAGGTTAAGCCAAATACTCGTCTGGTTTGGGCAAGCTGACTGCTGGGTATCTCTTAGTCGACTAGAGCGCACTTTTTTCCTGCTTTTTTTTCTGATTTGTTCTCTACTTATGCAACATTCGTGCATAATGCGATGCGAGGCAAATCATTTGAAGTTTTTGTCGACTCGCATTTCAATGCGACAAGTGGGCCAGGGGATGAGCAGAGCGAGTCGAGGTGTAGCTATCGTTAACCTATGTTAACAATTGGCACGTGACTTGAACCGATTTCCATACCCTAACCGAAGCTAGACCGAATATGTCGCAACTTTTGTCAGGCATTCGATCTAGACAATTCTTCATAGCTGCCATATTATCCAGCTGCCTATGTGAACCCAGCTGCTAGTGAAGATATCTTAAGCAGCTTAAAGCAGTTTATATGTCGAGGTCGACCGGATCGGTCCAATATATCAGACAGTTATTCAGTGAAGATATCCTAATGCCACCCAACTGTTCTTGTCTGCAAGGGTATTTGATAGTCGGCATGCAAAATATCGAACTGAAACTGAGCTGAGCTGGCAATTTACCTTAAAGCAGCCGCACCAAACGCGTCTGCCCCGAAAGACTGGCATCTTCTTCTTCTGCTGCTGCCTGTAGTGTTTCTGGAGTGGCGTTTCGCAGTTAATCGACGACTTCTTGAAATTGACGCCGTGTGCAACGCTGCCCCCGCTGCAGCCGCTGCTGTTGTTGTCGTTGCTGTCCTCCTCCTTGCCAAGTCCAAATGGATAGCCAAATGTGTAGCCTAATATGTTGTGTGCATAAAAGGAGTTGGCGCCGCTGCCCAAACTGTTGTTCTCATCTGCATGTTCCACGTGGCCGTTGCTGTTGTTGCTGTTGCTGCTATTGCTGCTGTTGTTGCCTGTGTTGCTGCTGTACTGGTTCCAGTAGCGATATAAACTATTGAAGCAGCTTAAATCGCTTAAAACGCTTTTCCAGTGCTCAAAATCGAAACGCTCCTGAAAATTAGCCGACGAGGTATCGCTGGCGCTGCCGTTGGGCCGACTGTTGCAGCTGTTGCTGCTGTTGATGCAACTGTTGCTGCTGCTGTTGCTGCTGCTGTTGCTGCTGCTGTTAAGTGTTAGGGTGGCTGTGCTGCCTTGGCTCAAATCGCTGCAGCTGTTCAGGCTGGTGATGGATATTAGGCTGTTGTTGTTGTTGTTGTTGTTGCTGCTGTTGCAGCTTCTGCTGCCGCTGTTGCTGTTGCTGTTGTAGCTATTGAGCACTATGTTGCTGCTGCTGTTGTTGTTGTTGTTGTTGTTGTTTTTGTTGTTGTTGCTCTGGCTATTGTCACTGGTAATTGTTATTTTGGTTACACCCGCTGTGCTGCTGGTTGTGGCTGCAATTGCTGCTGCTCCTGTTGCTGTTGCTGCTGTTGCTGTTGCTGCTGTTGCTGTTGTTGCTATTGCTGGTGTTGTTGCATTGATTGTTATGCAGCTGCTGTTGTTGCTGTTGCTTGTTACAGTTGCTGCTGTTGCTGTTGCTGCTGCTGCTGCACTGCTTTTGGGCTTCTCTAATGTGCTTTCGGGCGTTGTTTGCAATATTTCCGCATTGGCGCTGTGCGTATCCGGTTCATTAATGCAAACAATGGGACACGACTGTAGCTTCTGTAAAAAGAGAGTGAACAACAATAGATGGGCAATTAATATCAGATTCGAGTTACAATTGGAATTTGTTGCCTATTAAATCATAGCCTGCCCACTTGTCACACATTCTTGGCTGCAGCTCTAAGCCAAAGCCGACAGGGCCGAGGTGTCTGGCCAGACAAATGGCTGTCAACTCGCATGCCAAGGCAAATGAGACAAATGCAATTGCATTCAATTCATTGCCCGCGACAGTTGCCACATCCAAATGTGTGTGTGTGTGTGTGTATGTGTGTGTGTGCGTGCGTGTGTGTAACATACTCTACACTTCATCGGAGTACATAACAATTGCTGTGCAGTAAATGCAACTCGAGCTGCAAATGTAACTATCGAAAACAAAAGTATCGATTGGCACCGCCGAAAACTTATTTAATAAAGATATGCAAATACCAGCAATAATTTTTCTTTGGCACACCCAATCAAATCAATGTTGTTATCGATATATTCAATTTCTTATGAATATATACATGTTTTTTTCTCGATGTTTTGTGATAATCGATAATGTTATCGATAAAATAAATATAATATAAATCATATTGCAGTTAAAGAACTGTCCTGCACTTATTAATGTTATCGATCATAGGCAAATGCATTCGCTAGACCAACCTACTTTTGATCGAAGGGGTTCAAATTAAATGAAATATAATCAACCAACTATCGATTCTGAGGCTGATTATCGATAACAACAATTAGTTATACCTATACATGCAATTTAATATTCGATACTTTTATCGATATAAATTGCTCAACTAGGTTTTTATTGATCTATCAATTATCGATAGCCATTTACGATAGTTTAAGAATATTTAATTTATTTTTAATATATTTTTGTTACCTCCCTTTGATATGGATCCATATTTGATACAATATGATGTGATAACATTTCAAATAAAGTCTATGATTTTATCGATAGTTCACAGTATGAACTGTGCCTATATCTAATTGCCTTGTACGTTTCTTTCCTGAAGGGTATTTGCGCTGCGTTTTGTTCTAGATGAGGCATGCGTATATGCATTAAAGATTTATATCTAATATTATGCAGTCTGTTTCGTGGGTTTTTCGTTATTGTTTGGCGCGTGGGCAAAAAGTAAAGTTAAGAAAAATTTACAACTCTTGCTTGGTTTTCCAGCTGTCATAAATGTCTGGCAATTGTCGGGCAAATGCGTTTTGACATGTGTTGAAATCATACAGAGGATCAAACTCTACCCCCCATCCTATCCGCAATCCGTGTGTGTGGGCCTCTAAAAATCGAAAAGAATGGAATGGAAAATGGGTTTCGTATGCGAGTTTGAGCTTTTCACTCAATTAGCCATGCGAATTGCTTATGCAAAAATGCAAATGCGATCGAAACATAATTAAAATCAAATTTATGTTAATTAATGTTTAATACACATCATATTAGTTATTTATGTGGTGCACATTATTTGTTGGATAATCCGAGTCCCAGGCAATTGCCCACACATCACACATGCAATCGTTCAGACAGTCCGGCAACATCGATTAGGCCAGCTGCCAACTTATGTTGCTTTATCTATTTGTTTTTTTTTTTTTTTGTTTTCCCCTTTCGTTTTTATACAATTGAGTTAAGTAACTTTCAGGCCAATTGCGACGAGTGCTTTCTAGCGCTAACTAGCCGCCTGTCATCTGGCAGCGCTGCTTAGCTCAAGCCAAGCGCTTGCAATGCCATCTGGCAGCGCTGCTTAGCTCAAGCCAAGCGCTTGCAATGCCATCTGGCAGCTCTGCTCGGCTTGAATTGGCTTCCATTTGGCCCAGTTGTCCCCGTTGCCCAAACTCAACGCCAACTGTTTTTGGCATCACGAAATCGGGTCAATGCTTCAGCTTCCACTCAGAACTGTTGGTCGGCGACAATCTGGCAACGCTGTGTGTTTGTGTGTGGGCGTAGACTAATTAAAACTGTGTCTTCTGTTTGTCATTTGAATAAATATTTTTTTTTTTATGTTGCTGGCCTAGCGTGGGGCCTAATCAAGCGTAACGGCCAATTTGGCGGCCCATCAGTTGGCCATAAACAAGACGCAAGCGCGCGCTTATTTGGCCACAATTAAGAGCCAATATTTTTGTTTGCCTCATTAAAAAAGGGTCAATAGACGTCCGGGCCCACAAGCATTGCGGAATTTGACACAGTTACGCCCGACTATGCTGAGCCACAATGGACTAAACTGTCTATTACTCAAATGTATGTGATTAAGTCCCTGCTCGGGCGCCACAGTCGCGGCATGAAGCTGCGAAAATGTTGGCTTATTTATCAATTAATTTCGCCTTTGCCTACTGTCGCTAGCACAAACTGCTAGCATGTTATTTTTTGCATATATATCACTGAGGGTCCCCGCTCTGGCGCCACAATCAAAGCTTAGAGATGGAGAATGAAATGTGAATGTGGAGGATAGGTATATAAGCATATAGATTAGATGAGACACAATTTCATTGAGTCTTTATTTGTTTTTGATTATTGTTGCTAGCACAAACTTCACTCATCGCACTTATATGGTACTATTAATCTGTTCCTGAGTCCGAGTCCCTCCTCGCACACTATATTTGTCTTTAGAAGCAGACAAATCTTCGCTGCATTCAAATTCATTGCAACTCTCATTATATATTACTCTATTGCTACGCTCACTTAATTGCCGATAAATATGACACATTTTAAAAATATTTCATATTTATATATAAATGTTTGAGCAGCTTTTCTTTACTGGGTATGCATTACCCTGCGTCCCTGCTCGTGCGCCATATTTCAACTTTAAAGCATACGAAAATCTTCCATGCAGCAAATTTAGTTCTTTTTTTTTAGCTGCTCTCATTTATATTACTTTTAATACGGCAGCACTTTCTTATAATATTTAATATTTAATATTTAATATTTAATATTTAATAGTTAATAGTTAATAGTTAATAGTTAATAGTTAATAGTTAATAGTTAATAGTTAATAGTTAATAGTTAATATATACTTCTTTTCACTTGTGTGTATGCAATATCTGTTGTTCCTGCTGAGACTTTAAAGGTTACAAAAGCAGTGCAAGTGGAAAACTTTGCTTGTTTTTCAAGCCAATCCACAATTAAGACACTCTGAACAGAAGGCAGAATTTATACTTTCTTTAAGTAATCTTTACTTACATAAACTCTAAATTAAAACACTTTGGCACACTATTTAATATTTATTTTATGAATTTTCACGAGTTCACTATTCTGTGTCCCTGGCTCGAGCGCCAAAACTTTTATTCTTTAAAGCACTTAAAAATCTTCCATTGAGTAGATTCGATTGTTTGTTTAGGCCACTTTTCTTTGTGTAGCCTCTAATTAGGGCACTTTTAAGCAATATTTAATATTTATTCCATGAATTTTTGCTCATTTCTGAGCAGGCACTAGCTAGTCTTCCCCGACTCGAACGCTAATGCCAAGCGCGAAAATTGTTAAGGCCTACTTTAATAAATAATTTTAGTCTCTTGTTCTTGCTCTGCTCTTGCTCATACTTGTAATTAATTGGCATTCGGCTGTTCTTGGTAGTTTTCGACGAGTGCATTGCATTGAGTCCCTGCGCGTGTGTGAATCATTAAAATGAAATTAAACAAACTGAGGCTAGCGAATGGCTAGCAGCAATTAAGCAATTAACTGGGCAGCGCAAATTGGCTTAGTCACAGTTCATTTCACAGTAATTGCGAGTCCCTGCACAAATCAATTGTTTTTGGTATGAGGAATTGACTGTGATTATTCAATTGAGGCTGGCCAAAATGTGCTCCGGCATTCGCCATTTTGGCCATTGTCTTCTCTGGCCGGCTTTGAGCCGGCTGCCCGGACGGACGGGGACTGGCGCCACATCGAATCGCATGATTGTTACATTTTTCACACTTACCCAGAAGAAGTGGCAGGAGGCTTGGTAGCCAAATGCCAATGCATTTCCGAATACACCCACTCGACAGGCGGCAGGCGACCGACTGTCTCGTAATAACTTCATAAAGTGGGCGACAGAAAGTGAAATGGAAAAAAAAGAGCTGGGCAGGAAGTGAGCTGCGGGCGCCAAGACATTAAGAGCTGTTGCTGCTGCTGCTGCTGCTCCGGGCCACGGTTCACATTTTGGCAGCGACAACAATGGCTACGTGCAACAACAACAACAACAACAACAACAACAATGTGTTTGCCCTTAATGCAAGAGACGAAAAATCAAGTGAAAAACAACAACAACAACAATAGCAACAAAAAACAACAAACATCTACGAAAAAACTTGTTTTTCCGCATGCCAGGAAAAATGCACGAAAATGTTGAAAGCGCCGACAACTGGCGACGGTAGCTGCTGCTGCTGCTGCTGTTGCTGCTGTTGTTGTTGTTGCTGCTGCTGCTGCAACTTTTCCTTTTTGTGCCGCGCAACGCGTTCATCAGCTGACGACGTGTCTGTCGCAGTTTTAAGCGCATCTTTACCCACATTTTATGCATTGCGACGTCACATCAAATGACAATTGGTGCGTCAGGAGGCAGCTGATTGACACACACACACACACACACACACACACACACACACACACACACACAGCAGCTGTCAATCCTTGTGGCAACTGGCAAGTGTGGAGGGGGGGTGTCGCACAATTGGGCCAATTCGCTTTTCGCTTTTCGCCAGCGTCGCACGGTCCAAAAATAGTCATTACGTTTAACTAACGAAAGCCAAGTACAACTAACTAACGGCAGCTTGAGCTTTGTTTACTTTAACCTGACAGTTGCCAGTTAATTGCCTGCATTTTCAGCACATTTTCAGTGCATTTGTCAGCACACACACACACACACGCACACACACAGACGCGAAGCTCCTTAATTGAATTTGCTACGCTATTTTGCACCTAAAACTTAATTCAAATGCTTAGCTTAGTTTTGGTTGAACAAACTCTTCAACATTTTCAAAACATGCATTTAGATGTCACTAAAAGCTTTTAATGTTTGTAAAAGTACAAGAGATTG